ACGATTCTATTCAACGATGGGATATTTAGCAGCAGTAGTAGCAAATACAACTGGTATGTTGCACTTTTGATTGATTTAGTTTCTTCCACAAATTTTGATTGATACGAAGTAAACAATTTTTTTCTTTTTATCGGATTTTTCAAATTGCTTGTTTTAAACGTTAGGTGGAACAATCTTACAGAAGAATGCAGACTAATGCATCTAGATACGTTATCGGGAAAGATTAGATTGACCGCTGAGGTATTAATGGAAATTGCGGCCGCTCTTTATATTTTTGCAGCATTACGAGAAGCCAGATTTCTAGGTCTTAATATGTTTATTGAAAATCTAGTAAGGGACACGTAAATCTAATTGGTAGGTGATGTAATGAAATATTAATGAAGGAGATCATTTTTTAGATGACTGCACCGTCCAGAGTAATGTTTCTCTTTTCCTGCTGTATATTGTTAACCTTCCCATTTTTAAGATTGATTTGCGCAGACCAAGTTGAAGATATGCTAGCTGTTGTCGTTATGTTAACTACGGCACCGTATTTTTTATTTTTCTGTAGAGGTTTCAAAACGGTCGGTCCATTCGTCGTCATGATTTACAGAATGATAATGGGCGATCTGCTCCGTTTCGTCTCCATTTATTTGGTCTTCGTGATGGGATTTTCCCAAGGTAAAATATTTTAGAAAAATTATAAATATTTAGAAAAATTTTAATCCAAAAGAAATTGAAAATTCTGAAATTTTCTTCCTCTTCATCTCGCGATTAATTTGATCGATGCATTAGATTATTATGTTCTTTTATTTCTATTACGATCAATCCTCTCCTCTAATCAGAAACTTTTATGATAACAGATGCATCATATCTTGCTTTTGGACGTAGATCACGGATAAAAATAAACTTACGATCGATTCAAGTAAGAGTAAATTGATCGATTAAATTAATACCCACGAGCAAACATGTCGATGACGTATTTTCTCTTTTTCTTGTAGATAATCAAAATGTATAACGACCAAGTAGACGATACGATACAAGCTTGCCTTATGACTTAATCGCTCGCCTAGTTTACTGCATAACAAATGACATTGACACATATTGTTGCATTGAGATATCTTCCATTCTAAAACATAACATGTTATTTACATTAGGCATCTTGCCAATTCAATTATCTTATTTTTATATATATATATATATATATATTTACAAATACGTATCACATAGTATTCTTTTACGTAGCTATTTATTTCATTATATAACTTAATTATTTTGAAACATATATCCAAACATTGTCTTGTATTTCTTTCTAATCCAATATAATTATGTAACTTTTTTTTCTTTTTTTCTCATTTTTTTTCAAAAGATTGTCGTTTTCCTTTTTCAGCATATTATATTATATTTTTATCTTTCGATAATCCAAATACACCGGAAGGAGTAGATGATTCGATGAGCAATCCAATGCCATCACCAATAGAAAGTATAATGGCAATGTTTCTGATGAGCATGACAAACTTTGGAGATTATTATGGTGCTTTTGAAAGAACGCAACACGAGATAGAAGCCAAGGTGCGTTAGATAAATAATATTTGCCGCAAAATTATTTTTTTCAAATACTTTTCGATGTACATATATAAATTCATTTTATTGCAGTTTTTATTTGTAGTGTACATGGCGATCGTTGCTATATTATTGGTAAATATGTTAATTGCTATGATGGGAAATACATATCAGAAAATTGCAGAAACAAGAAATGAATGGCAAAGACAAGTATGTTTTTCTTCCTTTTTCTTATTTTTCCATTCCTACGATCATTTTATGTAATCATAATTTTATTGCAATTAATTAAATATTACAGTGGGCACGTATAGTTTTAGTAGTTGAAAGAGGAGTGAGCCCTGATGAAAGACTTAAAAAATTAATGGATTATTCTCAACCAATGTCTGATGGTCGAAGAGCATTGGTACTTCGATTGAATCAATCGGTAAAAAATAACGAGAATTATAATAATTTTTAATAGATAAATAATTGTAATAGAATAAAATATACATTTTTTTAGGAAGAGGACAAAGAAGAAATGAAGGAAATTTTAGAGATGAAAAGAACTCATGATAAATTATACAAAAAAAGACAGAGCAAAACAATGAAAAAGATTTTAACATCAGAAGATAATGTTATTTTATAATATTATCATTATTTTGCAAATATATTGATATATCGATATAAAAGCTAATAATATCTTAATAAACTCTTATGATTACAATTTGTCTTTAAATTTTATTACTTAATTTTATTATTCAAACTATGTATTGATACAACATAATCGTATCCATAGCAACTTACTATAGCAACCATTCACGATATAGATAATGATTATTTATTACCTTAAGTATTTCATTTCATCGTGTATTATCATATCGTGTATTGTGTTATCTCAAAAATTAAATATTTTCAAAACTTCGAATCGTGATAAATGAGCAAATTAAGATTGCCTATAGATTATAAAAATATGCAATTAGAACTCTTAGAGGCTCTTAAAGAAGATGAATTATATAAATTACAAAATGATGCTAAAATTAGAGCAGTGGAACAAAATGTACCTACATATGAAGATTTCAGACAAATGGTAGTAATATATTTAGAAAAATATTATTATCTATCAATATGAATTATCCATCTACATTAAATTTTTTATCAGGTAAATGCTGCTCATTTAAAACCTTTAAAACACTCCGATATTAAATATGAGGTAAAAAAATTATGGAATCCTATTATTTGTACCAATAATTCAAATATGATGCCGTTTAACAATCCAGAAGAAGATCAGTCTAAAGATCGTCTAAAATTAAAAGAGAATGAAAATATTTTTAAAAATGAAATACCCATTACATATGATCAATTTATACAATTTTGGAAAACGATTAAAGAATATAAAGAAAAATTTAATTATCTTAAAATTTTAAGGTAACTTATTTATTTAATTAAATCGAAACATTAAAAAAAGAAAATTTATTTATTAATTTATTATTATTTATTCTAATATTATTTCAGACATAACTTACGAGAGAAAATTTTTTACACAGAAATTCCTCCAACATTATTTGTCGAACTAATAGACATATGCTTACAAAATGTTTCGGATGTGAATAATATCGAATTCATTATTGATATTTTATGCATTTTGAGTAAATGTAATCGATTTTACTTGACAATGAATTTTATGAAAGAAAACGAAAAAGAAATGTGTACACAACTTTTTCACAATTTATTTAAAAATGGAGAATATCAAAATGAAACATTTAAGGATACAATAAAAAAATTAGCGTTACATTATAAAGTTGTACTTGAATAATAAATATTATAATGATTAATCTATTTACACACAATCTATAAAATAAAATATTATTTATAGAATATAGAAAAAATCAAGACTTGTTGTAATTTAAATTTATAATTTTAGATTTGAAAACGTAAAAACGTAAAATTTCAAATCATGCAAGCATGCGTCCAAAGAAGCATGTCAAACGAATCACGTGATTATTGAGTACTTAACATGGCCGCACCCATTGTAAAAGTTCGAGATATCGCGTTGATTAATGATTAGTTTAAGAATAAACTGAAATTCCGTCAAATTTGAATTTATTCTTGTTTTAAATTGAAATGATTCGAAAGTTTAATACACAATGGTATTGTCGTTGTTTGAAAAATTTTTCGCGATGTATACATGTACGTACGTGGAAAGAAGAACATTGGGCATGTATGCACGTATATCGCATGTATGCTCGTATTTCGTAAATAAACAAGATCAGTAAATCAATCGATAAAATGTCAATTGACAGTGTCATTTTAAATATTGTTATTGAAAAATTAAAAAATAAATACAAAATGTTAATTACCAAAAATCACGATTCTATTTAACTAAACAAGGTACAAAGATCACGTACGTACCTGTAGCGTACGTATATTTAGATAGTGTAATGCTTTAATATTATATGATACATATGTATAATGTTACGTGAAAATTATGTGTAACATATTTTGTCATTGAAAGAAAGATGTATAGATGAATATATAAAAATATGTATGTATGTTGTTTGCTTTTATGAATGTATGTATATGATTTACATATATCATATATTACATATGCTGCATATGTAATATACCATAAAGATAATAATAGTTGTGTATTCGTGGTAAATGGAAAAGAAAATTTATCGAGTGATTAGTCAAAAAAATATGCGGTTAGAAGAAATGCCATTACGTTTAAGCTCGGATGAGCGAGATTTTGAAATGGATGAAGAAACTGACTATCTTCTCCAACCTTCTGAAGATAGTATACGACTTTTAACTTCACGAAGACGACGAATAAATAATTTTTCTGTATTCCTCAGGAGTTGCTTTTGCGGGTAAGTTATAAATTTAATAATGAATCATTGAAAAAAATCGAATAAAAATAAATATGATATTCGATGAAAATAAGTCTATAATCCTCTAGTGGTAATTCTTTAATGGTAGCCAACATAACAAATAATAAAAATTCATGGATATATATCAAAATATTCAAAATACAAAAATGAATTTTTGAAATAATAACATGATAATATTAAAAATAAAATAATATATAATAATATTACTTAAAAATTGATTTTTAATATATATACTATAATTAATTGAAAAAAATGAAAATAATTTTTATAATAGAATTAAATTTATTATTTTACTATTAAAATTAAATAATTAAAAATATGATTTCGCAAAAATTTTATTTTTAATAAAAAATATTTAAGAAATGCGGAAATTATACATTAAATAGAACATATAGTGTAAGTCACTGTAGTAAATTAGTGAATTCATCTTGTAAGTTCGTATTTCATGGATGTTATGATGTCACAACAGAATTGTGTTAAATATCGAAGAATACTTTTTAGACAGTGTTATTTTAACAAGAAGCTAATATAAGTGTTTCTTTATATGATTTGTAATAAAGAAATATCTAAATGGAGACACAAAGCAATGTTATAAGGCTATCAAAAGAAGATATTCCGTTAATATCTAAACCGCGGAATGACAACTCGTGGACAAGGTGACGTACATTTTACTCCTCCAAAAAATTTCGATTTCTATGTAATCTTTTAATTTCTTTGCAAGAACTTATTAAATAATTCAATATATATTACTGATTACTTCCATGATGTTTAACTGGATTTCAATACAGTAACTATTATTATATATATTCCATGTTTTATATTTATTTAATTAACATATTTCTCTTCATTTGCGATCATTATAATTATTATGGTTATAGTATTATATATTTTAACAAAAAATTTTAATAAATAAACGAAGAATTGATGCTATATTTTTTTCTTTCTTTATCTACTGTATTTGTATATATTATTGTCTTATTTTAGATGTTGTACCTGGATGTGGAGAAGATGTTGCAGAGAACGTGAATTAAGAGCCAGGGTTATTCAAATTGGTCAACCAATGCATGAAAAATTTCCTACTAATGTCATCAGAAACCAGAAATATAATATTGTCACATTTTTACCTCTGGTAAGGAATATTGTAGATTATGTTATTAAATATATATAGAATAAGAATATTAAATTAATTAATTATTTTTTAGGTTCTTTTCCAACAGTTCAAATTTTTTCTAAATTTATATTTTTTGCTTATGGCCATATCACAATTCATACCAGATATACGAATAGGATATTTATATACATATTGGGGACCTCTATGTTTTGTGTTAACTGTTACAATTTGTCGAGAAGCAATTGATGATTTTAGACGATACAAGAGAGATAAAGAAGTCAATGCCCAAAAATATTATAGATTAGTAAAAGGTTTTGATACTCCAGAATTAGTACCAAGTTCTAAATTGCGAGTGGGTGATTTGGTAAGAAAATGGAAATATAATTAAATAAAAATAAAAAAAGGAATAAAAATAGAATATTTATTTTTTTTATTTTTTTTGTTCAAGGTTATTGTAGAAAAAGGTCAAAGAGTTCCAGCTGATTTGGTTCTTTTACGAACCACAGAAAAATCTGGTGCATGCTTTGTGAGAACTGATCAATTAGATGGAGAAACAGATTGGAAATTACGATTAGCTGTACCAGTTACACAAAAGTTAGAAAATAATTCTCAACTGTTCGATATAAAAGCTAGCATATATGTTGAGAAACCACAAAAAGACATTCACAGTTTTATTGGAACATTTACAAGGGTAAAATTTGAAATATTCAATTATTTTATCTTAAATATTTATACAACAATATAATAAATGTAATAAATATATACAATAAATGTATATAATAATTATATTACAATTTATAGTATGATGGATATAGCAGTGAAGAAAGTTTAGGTGTGGATAATACTCTATGGGCCAATACGGCAATTGCATCAGGTTCAGCTCTTGGTGTTGTAGTTTATACTGGACAAGAAACTAGATCTCTTATGAATCATTCTGCACCACGATCGAAAGTTGGTTTATTAGATCAAGAAATAAATCAATTGACAAAAGTAATTTATAATTATAAAAATATCTAATATCTAATATAATTTATAATTCAATTTATAAAATACATATTATTGAATGAATTTTTATAGGTTTTATTTTGTGCTGTAATTGGATTAGCATTAGTAATGATGTCTTTAAAAGGATTTAATGGGCCATGGTATCGTTATATGTTTCGTTTTGTTTTATTATTTTCTTATATAATACCAATCAGTTTAAGAGTAAATTTAGATATGGGGAAAGCTTTTTATGCTTGGTGTATACAAAGAGATAAGGAAATTGCTGGAACTGTTGTCAGAACTACTACTATTCCAGAAGAACTTGGACGTATTTCATATTTATTAAGTGACAAAACTGGTACATTAACACAGAATAAAATGGTTTTCAAAAAATTACATTTGGGTATGATATCTTATGGTCAAGAAACATTTGACGAAGTTATGACCGTATTACAAACATGTTATGCAAATTCTGAAACTTCACCGGTAAAACCATCAACATCTATACACAGTGGAAAAGTAAGAAGATCTGAAAGTACTAGAATATATGATGCAGTTCATGCTTTGGCATTATGTCACAATGTAACACCAGTTTATGATGAAATAACAAAATCAGCTAATTTGGATACAATGAGCGTACAGACAGCAGAAACAGGAGATTCTGGTTCTATTCAAAGGTAATTTTGAAAGATAATTAATCCACATGATATATGTATTTAAATTATTTTTATTTCAGTCAAACTGAAGCAGATCAACATTATTATGTACCAGAACAAAAACGTAATTATCAGGCTTCTAGTCCAGATGAAGTAGCATTAGTTAAATGGACGGAAGAGATGGGATTAGCACTAGTGAAACGCGATTTAAATTTCATGCAATTAAAAGCTCCAAATGGCAAAATTTTGAACTATACAATCTTGCAAATATTTCCATTTACATCAGAAACCAAACGGATGGGAATAATAGTGAAAGAAGAATCTAGTTCTGAAATAGTATTTTACTTAAAAGGTGCGGATGTAGTAATGTCCGGAATAGTACAATATAATGATTGGCTTGAAGAAGAATGTGGTAATATGGCTAGAGAAGGTTTAAGAACTTTAGTTGTTGCAAAAAAGAATTTAACAGAAGAACAGTATCTTGATTTTGAAGCAAGGTAAAAAATTTTTGTGTATAGCTGTAAAATGATTAAAAATAATAAATCAGCTACATAAAAGATATTTTTCTTTTAGATATAATTCAGCAAGAATGAGCGTCAGTGATCGTGTTTCAAGAGTTGCTGCAGTTGTAGAAAGTTTAGAACGAGAAATGGAATTATTATGTGTAACTGGTGTTGAAGATAGATTACAAGATAGAGTAAGACCTACATTGGAGTTATTAAGAAATGCTGGTATTAAGGTATAATTTATTTTGAATTTATATTATACATGAAATTAAATTTTTTTTTGTTCATTTTAATTAAAAGTAAAATTACAATATTTTTTTTGTAATTTTTAGATTTGGATGTTAACAGGTGACAAATTAGAAACGGCAACTTGTATAGCAAAATCTTCGCGTTTAGTTTCACGGACACAAAGCCTTCATGTTTTTAAATCAGTGGTAACTCGTACAGATGCGCATTTGGAATTAAATACGTTTCGTAAAAAACAAGATTGTGCCTTAGTCATCAGTGGAGATTCTTTAGAGGTATGCTTACAATATTATGAACAAGAATTTTTGGAATTAGCATGCGGTTCACCAGCTGTTGTTTGCTGTCGATGTTCACCCACGCAAAAAGCGGAAGTTGTAAGTCTTATTCAAAGACATACTGGCAAAAGAACTGCAGCTGTCGGTGACGGGGGAAATGATGTATCAATGATACAAGCAGCAGATGCTGGTAATTATCATAATGTTTTTATATTCAAATGAACTGTTTCTCAAACTAATATATATTTTCAGGTATAGGTCTTGAAGGTCTTGAAGGAAGACAAGCTTCTTTGGCTGCAGATTTTTCCATTTCTCAGTTTAGTCATTTGGCCAATCTTTTGTTAGTTCACGGACGTCGAAGTTACAAACGCTCTGCTGCTTTAAGTCAATTTGTTATTCATCGAGGTTTAATTATTTCTACTATGCAAGCTGTGTTTTCTGCGGTCTTTTATTTATCATCTGTATCATTATACCAAGGATTTTTAATGGTTGGGTAAGAAAAATTAATTGATTTGAAAATAATTTATTAATATGATAATTAAATATTATTAATATGATAATAAAATATGAATAATTAATAATTTATAATTCTGTATCTTAATCTTATATTTTAATTAAGATTTTTAAATAAATCTTTATATTTTTTTAGTTATGGAACAATATATACGATGTTTCCCGTATTTTCTTTGGTACTAGATAAAGATGTATCGGGAAAAATTGCTCTTACTTATCCAGAACTTTATAAAGAACTTAGTAAGGGTCGATCATTGTCTTATAAGACATTCTTTATGTGGATTTTAATAAGTATATATCAAGGTAAATAAATTAATAGATTAATAAATAATAAATCCAACAATTTTTATTAATAATTTTAAATTTTCCATCAATATATTAATTTTTTAAATTATCTTTTAGGAGGTGTTATAATGTACGGCGCACTCATTATGTTTGAAGATGAATTTATTCATATAGTGGCCATAAGTTTTACAGCACTCGTCTTGACGGAATTAATAATGGTAGCTTTAACTATTAGAACATGGCATCATATTATGATACTTGCAGAGATTTTCTCATTGGCACTTTATCTATTATCTCTAGTCGTTCTCAAAGATTATTTTGGTGCGTATTAGTATATGTTTGCAAAAAATAAGGAATAAGTTCATTAAAGAAATTTAATTACTCTTTCTTTTAATTATAACACAGATGCTGAATTTATCAAGACTACTGATTTTCTGTGGAAAGTATTACTTATAACTTTAATTTCTTGTATGCCATTATATATCTTGAAATTTTTACGAAAAAAATTTTCTCCTCCTAGCTATACCAAATTATCTTAAATTTTACATAACATTGTCACTTTAAATAATAAAAGTAATATATATGAAATGTTGACAAAATTTTGAATTGAAAAAGTAGTAAAATTTTTTTTGAAGTTAATTAATTATTTCTAATTCAAGTTCTGCTAATGCAAAATAGATAAATTTGCATTTCATAAGATTCTTCAGTATTTTTTAAATTTTTTTACAAAAAAAAATATTAAATATAAAATTGTATAACAATATTGAAAATAATTTCTAACAAAATATTAATTTATAATTTATAATTTCTTTTGTTTTAAATATATAATATTAAGCATTTTATTGTATCATTAGAACAAATCAGATTCAATTTTCTTCTTTTTTCTTTAAATTCTAAATTAATGATAAATTTTGTTAATTTGACTAAATTTTGTTAAATTTTGACTGTTATTATTATTGCTATGCTACGTATAACGCTAATAGTGTAAACATTTCTCAAATTTGTCAGATTACAATTGCAATGATAATAATTTTAAAAAAATGAAAATTAGATATATATCTTCTTTGTCTTTATTTATTTTAATAAACAATAATTTTCATTTTTAAAATATATTCATGTAATGTGTAGCATTTTATTCGTTTTCATTTCATGTTTATTATGTATATATATTTGATTGCATATTATTTACAGTATTTTAATTCATATAATAAGTTTATGAGACAAATTAAAAGCATATGTTTTATTTGAGATTTTCTTAATGTATTTAATAAATAAAAATACAAATAAACATATGCAAAGTTAATAAATTTTTTTACAAATTAAAGATCAAGATTTTTATCTATTATCATTTTTTTCTTTTGATAATATTTTTATTTTATATTTCAAATAAAATTTATTACTTTTAATTACAATATAATGTAATATAATTTATCATGAATATTTACTGCTATAATAAATAATTTTTATATTCACGCGTAAATTGTAATGTAGATTTAGATATAATTGTTGTTAATTACAATGTTAATGAAATGTATCATACTGTAGATTATATAATTATCTTACTATTTATAGATAAATAATATTTCATCTAATGACATATTTATAATTAATTTATGTAGAAAATGTAATAATATATTCATTTGAATTTTTTGAGTTTATTCATTATTCTACTTTTTTTCCAATATATACAAACATATATACAATATACAAATATATATTGTATATATATATATATATATATATATATATATACATATATACAAACATTAAAAAAAAAATAAACAATACCCAAATAATTCATCTCTTTTTATTTATATTTTTTATTTTTCTCTTATTGTAACATGTAATTTTTCAACTGCATCTTTACATATTTGTTTGTGAATATTATTTACTTCTCTTTTCGATAATGTACGTTCCATATCTCTATATATTATGGTATAACAATGTGATAATTTCTTAATTTTAGGATGAAAGAATTCATCTTTAAATATAACTTGTTCTATCCTATTACCACCAATATTTCTCACTAGATCATAAAAATTTTTCGATGAATAATTTTTATTTTCGGGTAACCAAAAACTTATATCATTCTTACATTGAGGATAAATACTAATTGGCTGTAATAAATTTTAATATATTAATTTTTAATATATATGTAATATTTAATTATATATATTAATTAATAATTAATATATATAATTTTTAATATATTATATAATACTTAATTATATTTATTAATTTATTAATCTACCTTGAATTTTATTGTTTTATTAGGATCTTCAACTTTAAATTGATTTAAAAATCCACTATCTTTACTCCAAAATAATCTAATATCTGGAATATCATATAGACACATAGCTAGTCTTTCTAAACCCAATCCAAATGCCCATCCAATACGTTCTCCTGCACCTGATTTCTGTAAAATCTCCTGACGCATAATACCACATCCTAATATTTCAAGCCATTGATCTTTATAATAAACTTCTAATTCCCATGAAGGATGAGTAAAAGGAAAATATTCTTCAATCCATTTACATTGAATTTCTAAAATTATAATATTAAAGCAACAATTAATAATAATAAAAATATATAAAATATATATATATAAATACATATATATAATAAAATTGTTTTTTCTTCTTAAAAATACCTGATCCAAAAAGTGATTTTGCTAAACCTGTTAAAGTGTTTTTTAACTCATATTCCATTATTTTAATAGATTCCAAAGTATGACAAGCTTGCTTTTCATTAGTTTCTATACCTCTATGTTCAAATAATTTTAATTCTTCAGAATCATTTACATTATGAAATACTTCTTCTGCTGTACATAATCTAACAGCATCTGCTTGATGAAAAACAGGATAATGTGTAGAATCTATTTCATCTTTTCGATAAACATCTCCTATTATAAGAAAATTATTCAAACCCATTGAAATAAATTCTGTTTGATGAGCTGTTGTATGAGCTCGTAACAAAGTATCCTGATTTATATAATAGCATTCAGATTGTTTTCTAGATGGATGATCTTTTGATACAAGAAGAGAATCAAAATTTTGAGTTACTGTAACTACAGGAGATATATTATCATATACACTGAATATAGGATTTCCAATTCGATTATGAAAGTGTATATAAAAGTAATTAATAATACGTTGACGAATATGAGATAAAGGATGATATGGAGAAATATGTAAATTTCTTCCTAATTTGGATACTATATTTTCATTAATATTTGTCCAATTATCTGTTAAATATTTATGGCCTAATAGTGTTATTTCATTATTTGTCTCAGTTTGTGTAGCTACAGAAAATGTTCTATTAAATAATATTTTCTGATAATACTTATAATATTTATATATTTTCCACCTATAAAATTATTTCAATTATTATTTATAAAAATATTTAAGCATTTAAGATAATATAATATATATGTAGAATATATAATCTAACCTTTGTAAAATCATTATAACTTCACTTATGGTAACTTCAAAATTTAGAATCAAAAATTCAATTATATAAATTCAAAATTGGAATTGTATTAATTCTTAATAATTAATAGAAGTGTAAATATATAAATGTATATTTATATATTTTCGAAAATTTTTCGTTTTTTAACTTTTTATTTATAAGCCATTAAATGTACATATTTCATATACATATTCATAGTATAATTTAAGGAAAATTTATAACATTATTATTTAAAAGATAAAAAGATTAAAATTATTTATTATAAAAATTGCATTCAGAAATGTAATCAAAGCATTAAAAAAAAAGTTTTGAAAACTTATAAAAATTCCAATTATTTAATTATCCATCATTTAACAAATCAATTATAGAAAATGGAAGCATATGATTTATTTTTAAAATTTAAAGAAATTAAGGTTGATTTATAATTTTGAGATATAAAATAAAAAATATGCTTTTTTTCGCATATTAATTTATATATAATTATTCATGAAATTATTATTAATATAAATATTTTTCTTCAGTATCAAACTCATAATATTTAATTTATTTTGTTTATTTTTAATGATTTAACTTATTGAATATATCGTGTAAAATTTAAATTAATTTTGTATATTTAATATTAATACAAACTCGTAAAAACATGTTATCTATCTATAACATGTTTAGTTTATGATGTGTTATGGTTCATACAAATAATGGCTAGTCGAAAAGATATTTTGAATCTTTATCGAAACTTAATTCGAGAAACTAAAAAATGGAATCTTTATAATTTTCGGTAAGTTATAAATTATGAAATTAATAATTATTAATTATTTTCTTGTAATTTAAAATGTTATTTTTTATTGATTTCCTTGTACATAAAATTTGTAATATTGATATTAACCAAATTATAATTATTCGAATATATATATATATATATATATATTATGAATAAATATAATATAATGAAGAATATTATATTAATAAATATTATAAACATTTAATTTACAAGTTACATTATCATATATCATTATCATATATTTATAAATATAAGCTTATAAGTATAATCTCATATTTATTATAGGATGTATACTTTACGTAAAATTCGATATGAATTTCAACAAAATAAAACAGTACAAGATAAAAAGAAGATTAATGAGTATTACAATAAAGGACTGGAAAATCTTGAGATTATTAAGAGACAAGTAATAATTGGGAATCTTTACTCTTTTAAACCATTAATTATTGAAACTATTAAAAAAAATAATAATTTAAATTAAAAGCAAAAATTTGTAATTAGTATTGAAGAAATGTCTGCAAGAATAAATATATAAATATAAAAAATAATTTTTTAATAATTAAGAATTAATTATTGTAATTATGGTTATATATATTTAAGATGTATGTATTAATGTTATAAATATATTTTTATCTATAATATTCAATATAATATTATAATAATCAATAGTAAAAATGTTTCACTAGAATCATAATTAATAAAAAATATTTATTGTTTATAATACAGTGTTTTATATAATTTTATATAATTTTTTAGAAGAAATAATAAAAATATATAAATATATATATAATGAAATAATTTGCAATTATTGTAAAAAAAAAACTTACACATAACTGTATTAAATTTCGAAAATAAATTTTAAAATTCTTAAGTCAATTCCAAAAATTTTTTTTGTGCGTAAAAATATATCGATATTATATAACGATATGTATTTGTGTACATGATATATCAAATATTTAAGATAAAAATTTTCTACATACATAACTTTCTACATGTTATCTCAAATTTCGAACAAATGTATGAAATATAAAAAAAATGCTTAATAATTTTTGTTAATCAATTATTTCAATTGTTATACGATGACAGATGGAGCACATTGAGAGAATAAAGTTACTGTGTATAGAAAGGAGTGAATCAAATAATCTATCGTGAATCATTTAACGAATTGAGTAAAGAATTTTGAACACAATGGCTATGCGAAATTTAACAGAACCATTTGTTTTAATGCGAAATAATGCTTTACAAAGCAAGCACATATATGCTGAACAGGTATGATATAACCTATAATTTTGTGAATAATTAATGAATTTTTTGTTCAAAATTTAAAAAAATAAATAATATTCCGTATAATTTCAGAATTTGTCTGACCGAATGGCACTAGTAACTTCAGATTCTGGTACTTCGGATAATGTTGAACTAAAAAATGTCAATTTGGAAAGTAATGCACCACCTATATGGACTGATGCCTTGGAAGAAACACAATATATTTTAAGTAGATTACGTGTTAAAATAGACAGTTTAGTAGAATTACATGCTAAACAATTAACTAGGCCAACATTAGATGATACTTCTCAGGTTTGTTATTAATTCTTTATAAAAACAATTAATGATCATTATGTTAGAAATTACATGTATATTTAATAATAGAAGATTAGTTAATCTTTCTGATTTATTTTGATTACTCAATTGTTAGAGAGCAAATCGTTAAAAACATGTCTACAGGAAGAAAGACAAATGGAACAACTGACACGAGAAATAGGACGTGCATTTTCTAATGGCTATCATCAAGTACAAGCTATAAAAGCTGCAGCAAGACATACTACTGGATCTGCAGAACGACAATTAGCCATAAGCGCGGTAATGGCTCTTTCAACAGCTTTACAAGAGCTGGGTCTTCGATACAGATCAGCTCAGAATCACTATTTAACACGTATGATTTATATAGTTTGCATAAGCTAGATATGGAAATAAAAAAATATCCAACTTCATTTAATAATTTCAGAGGTTAAATCAAGAGAAGAAAGAAGTAATCAGTTTTTTACAGAAGATCAATCAATATTTTTAAATAATACTACAACAGACACATGGTTAATGGAATCAAATGAACTAAATTCAGATTCTTGGGAAAATAATGAACAAAAACAAGATTCTGTACTATTACAATTAGAGGATCCAGAAGACAGAATAAAATTAGCTATGGAAAGAGAAGAACAGATTGGTAATATAGTGCAAAGTATAGCAGATCTCAGACATATATTTAAAGTAAGGGATTTTCTGAATATTAGAACAAAATGAATGTTATTAAAATTATTGTGTTAAATAATAAAATAAATATATCTTCTTTAAACAGGATTTAGCAACCATGGTGCAGGAACAAGGTACTATTTTAGATAGAATTGATTATAATATTGAACAAACACAAATACAAGTACAAGAGGGTTACAAACAATTGAAAAAAGCTGATTCTTATCAAAGAGCCAATAAGAAATTGTATTGCATAGTTGTTCTTGCAGGCGCTATCATTCTAGTCAGTTTTCTTTTTGTCGTGTTTAAAACATGAAATACAATTTGCACTACTAAATTTTAATGTACAATTACTTTGTTATTAATTATTCTAGTAAAAAAAAAACAAATATATAGTGCATAATTTGCAAAAAATATTTTTCGACAAAATATTTGAAAATTTTTAATTCTAAGTAAAAAGAAAACTGATGAAATTTAATAAGTATATGTTTCATTTTTATGATTATATAAATTATTTTTCTTATTTTATGCTCGAAATCATTCCAGAATTTTTTTGTCATGATATCGTTTGCATATCGTTATGTAATGATTTTAAGATTTATATATAATATAAATGTAAATTTTAATAATCTTATTAATGATTTTTAATTGCATTTTCACTTAGATTAATTTTTAATATATTTAAATTGAGAATGCTGCTATAAAATTTTGATAAAATAAATAATTAAAAAAAAATGTGTTCAAAATGAACCATGAGAAAATATTAAAAATATGTATTGATTTTTTTTTTAATGATTTTTTAAAATGAATATTTTATCCAGTATTTTATATGATTATAATGTTATTTACATAAACTTAAATATTATAAATAGGTATTTTGAAGTATAACTTAATAAATACTAAGATAACATAGTAGTTAACAATATCGAATTTTTATTCTTAAGAATATTAGATAAATTTTTTTGAACATTGCACCTTTTTTTTATCACAGACTGGCACATATATTTTATATCTACATAATTTATTGTATTTAATTGTAATCATTTATCTACATATAAGTTGGAATCTTAAAAAAATATTATTACAAAGGTTTGAACAATTATACACACACACGTGTGTATATATCTGATGTATATACATATATATATATGTATAAATAATATATATTTATACATATACATATATTTATTTATTTAAAGATATTTGCCTAAACATGCCCTTTTTATGTGTTGCGTGATATATGTGTACTTGAATGTATGCAAGAGTGTTATATAACTTCTAAATGTATTGTAAATATTTATTCAGTTCTACAAAAATCTTATGTGTTATGAATTAAAAAATCATTCATTAATAAATGATAAAAATTTGTATAAAAAAAAATATTATCATTTACATATATTGAAAGTGCGAAATTCAATAAAATACATGAAAAATGCTTAATGTTTGCTGTGTAATCCAAAATATAGCAAATATTGTACATAATAAAAATATTTATTCTAATAAATGGAATGCAATAAATGTTAAAGTCCTATAAATTTTATTGTATCATGAAATGAATATGTTTAGACTTGTTTTCCTTCTTCAAAGTTCATAATAGCTATTATTATAGATGTAAAAATTTTCATACAGACCTTTTTTTTTTAATGCATTTTTATGTACACTTTTAAAAGCAAGGAAACAAGCTCATGTTTCGATGAACATTTCATTTAAATACAAAAGAATTCTATTTTACTATTTTTCATATACAGCATTATGAATAATATCTGAATAAGAAAAAATATTTAGAAAATATTTATAATCTGAACGTATGTATAAAAAGTAGATAAGAAAGCATGGTTTTTTTTTATCATTCGAATGATTGATAAATATTTGCAGTATTTTAGGTAGGAGTTGAGGTAGTCAGAATGTGAACTAAAATTGCAAACGCTCCACCAAGAATATAACGTACGAAATTATCACCAACTAAAGGACCTAAAGCATAAAGTCCACTTTTCGAAGCTTTTGTTACTTCGTAAGTAAAATTAT